GTAGAGCAGCCACAAGAAGAGAAGGGGGAACAGGGTTCCTTTGGAAAGCTACTTCTTTCCAGTTTTACTTTTTGTCCTTTTCTAGAAATTCAAGAGCATGAAGTTAGTTGATCAACACAAAATGATGCTCTTTCTCCAACGCCTTGGGAAGGATCTTGAGGAAAACATTTTTGTGGGCTGATGGATTTTTTTTTTTTTTAGACTGTCTGGGGAGATGCTTTACCAGGCAGGCCTCATGGAACAGAGACAAACACCATTTGGAAATATGAAAGAACACAATTCTTGCTGTTTTGGATACTGTCTGTTATAGACCACCCATGACATAAACTGTGGTTTCCAACCCCAACCAAAACATCTACCTCCCTTGAGTGTATGTATTCTTCAAAAAAAATAAAGCATCCACCTGGTGAATGGACAAGAAATGCGGTGTGTCCATGTAACGAGACACTAAGCTGTAGAAAGGAACACACTGGCATGGATGAATCTCAAAACATTATGCTAAGTGAAAGAAGCCAGATGTTAAAACCAGTTGTATGATTCTATTTATATGAAGTTCACCCCAGAAAGGCAAATCTGTAGAAATAGAAAGCATATTAGTGGTTGTCTGGGACTGGGATTGAGGAATCTTGAGGTGAAAGAAATCTTCTAAAACTAGATTATGGAATTTATGCTCAAGTCTATAAATTGTCTATAAGTAACTGAATCAGACACTCGAAATGGATAAATTTTGTGGGTGCAAATTTTACCTCAGTAAAGCTGTTTTTAAAAAAAAAAAAAACAATGCCACTAAGTTTTTGCTAATCTATGAAAATTTAGATTAGCCTAAGATCTTATGGTTCTAGGCTAATGGTGGCTATGGTTTGCATGGTCCATTCTTTGGACTAATTGTTTCCTTGAGTCTATCATAGAATGCTTGACACCCAAAGAATAAGGAATATTGACATAGCCATCAGGTACTTAGTGAATAACACATTCTCGGGTTGCCTTTAAATTCACCACACATGGTAGTTGTACAAGTCAGTCAAGTTACTCTGTAATAGGAGACCATACTTTGACCTGGAGAAACTTGAATTCCAATCCCAGATCCTAGTTTGTTCTTAAAGTCTGTCCCTAACTCTGGTCATAAGCAATGTCTGTACTCCCAGATTTGTCCAAGTCAGCCCTGGCTGCCACCGTTGGCCTGGTTTAATTAAGAGCTTTTTCACTCTCAAAGTGTCATAGGCTGCACAATATAATAAATAAGGACATTTTAGTTTTGAAACCAAGGAGCCCTGGAGATGCAGCGTTTAAAGCTCAGCTTCTAACCAAAATGTCAGAGGTTTGAGCCCACCAGCTGCTCTTTGGGAGAAAGATGGGGCAGTCTGCTTCCCTAGAGATTACACCCTTGGGAACCATCTGGACCATTTCAGTTCTGTCTGTAGGGCCACTATGAGTTGGAGTTCAACTCGAGGGCAATGAAAGTTTAGTCCCTGGGTGGTACAAACCATTAAAGCACTTGGTTACTAATTGAAAGGTTTGGGGATTCAAGCCCACCTAAAAGCACATTGGAAGGAAAGCCTGGCAATTTACTTTTGAAAAATCACCCATTGAAAACAGTTCTATTCTGTCACATATGCAGTCTCCACGAGTCAGAGTCTACCTCAATAGCAGCTGGTTTTAGCTAAAGGAGCTCTGGTAGCACAGTGGTTACGAATTGGGTTGCTAACCTCAAGGTCAGCAGATCGAAACTGCCAGCTGTTCCACAGGAAATAGATGAGACTTTCTGCTCCTGTAGAGATTTACAGCCTCGGAAACGCTGTACAGGGTCTCTATGAGTCGGAACCGACTCCACGGCATACCACCATAAAGCATTGAAGCTGACCGTATATGGAAATCTCATTCCGGATTTGTGTCTGCAGTCTACATAGAATAGTCGAATACAATGCAGGACATCAGGGTAGTGTGAGCGCCCATTTCATCTGCGTTACAACCTTGTTGTGATGGGGCAGGTGCCATCATTGTTGTCAGGGACGGTAAGTGACTTGCCTGAGATTGCACAACTAGTAAGCAAAGAACAGAGTCCAGAGCCCTGGTGGTGCAGTTGACTAAGCACTGGACTGTTACCTTAAGGTTAGCAGTTTGAACCTACCAGTTGCTTTGAGGGAGAAAGATGAGGCTTTCTACTACCATAAAGATTTACAGACTGGGAAACCTGATGGAGTAGTTTTACTCTGTTCTGTACGAGGGACTTGGTTTGGGTTTTAAACATATGTTGGAACTCATGGTTTAGGTTTCCCAAACACTGTCCTCCCTTTTATTTTGTGTTAGGGTCAGGGCCTGTCGGTTCTTGCAGTTGGGGGTGAAGTCTAGATTCAAGACATTTGCACTGTTTACTTCCCAAAATCCTGTAGAAAGGAAAGCTCCCATATAAAGTAACTCAGTCTGACTTGATCAGCAAATCCATCCGGTGGAAGTGTTGGCAGGCTCCTGTCCTTCTTTTGCAGGATCAGGGCTCGTTTCTAAAAGGATGTCTGCCATTCATACCTTTTGCCCCATTTCTAGTTCTTGGAGTCTTGGTATGGTGCTTGAGGATAAGCACCTGGCACTATAGGATAAGCACTGGACTGCTAACCTCAAGGTCAGTGGTTCAAACCCACCAATCACTCCTTGGAAACTCTATTCAGGGTTACTATGAGTCAGAACTGATTTAATAGCACTTAACAACAACAACTTATGAACAACTTTTTTCCCACCCTTCCTGCTAACAAGGTCTCTCTCTACAGCTTCTTTTCTATTATATTGAAAGATTAAAACAGGGTGGGGATAAGAATGTTTTAGTTCTAGACAGTCTTTTTTAGACTTTAATATGCCTTTGCCTCAAGGCATACTTTCTTGTGAGGGTTGTTGTTAAGTGCCATCAAGTAGGTTCTGACTCATAGTGACTCTGTATAGAGTCCTGGCTTAGTGCTGTAGGATGAGCACTGGACTGCAAGGTCAGTTTGAATTGAAAAGTTGGTGGTTTAAACACGGCAGCCTTTTCTCGGCAAACCCTACGTGTATACAGGGTGACTTTGACTTGGAACTGACTCTGGTACTTAACAGCAACAGTAGGATTTTTGAGGAGCAGCAGGTGGGTCTATCGGAACTGAAAATCTTTTGGTTAACTGTCCAGTGCTTATGCTACAGCACCACACCAGGACTCCTCTTATGAGGGTTGCTGCTCTATTAAGTGGCATGGAGTTGGTTCTAACTCATAGCAACCCTGTATAGGGTTTCTAAAGAGCAGTTGGTGGGTTTGAACCACTGACCTTGTGGTTCATAGTCCAGTGCTGATGCTATAGCGCCAGGTTCTTTCTTTCCATGCAGGAGGCTCAGATTCAGTTCTTGACCAAGTGTCTGAAACACAGCCAACACCCATTCATTAATAGAGGTTTAAGTATTGCTGTAATGCTGAGTAGATTTTCAGTGGCATGACAGACTAGGAGGAAAGGCCGGGCAATCGGTCAGTAGAAACCCTGTGGATCACAGTGATCTAATCTTCAACCAATCAGGGATGGAGCTATCATAGGACTGGGCAGCATTTTGTTCCGTTGTGCATGAGATTGCCATTTGTCGGGGGCAAACTTTATGGCCCCTCACACCAGCCCCTTGCTTCTTTTCCCTACCAGTTCACAACTTGCACTCCAGCAGCTAAGCAAGACATTTAAGCCAAGCAGAGTTCTGTGTCTGTCCTTTGTGCTGGGTGGCCCTTGCACCTCACCCTCAGGGCCTGATCTGACCCTGCCCATCAGCATCTGGTATTAAAAGAGTCGGGTAAGAAGAAATGGATTGCCCAAAGAGAAACACCCTCGAGATCCATACTCTTTGCCTGTGAATAAATATTTTATTCGTTTTTCTGTACCTTTTTATGCATGCCTTGAGGCAAATGCATTTTAAAATCTGAAAAAGACTGTCTGGAACAGAAATCTTCTTATCCCCACCCTGTTTTGATCTCTTTTAATATAAAATAAGAGAAGCTGTTTTTGTGGGTTGGTTAAGAAAGCAAATCTTGATAGAGAGTCCCTCTCTGTACCCCAAATGTAAGTTATTTATTCAGTTGGCCAAGAAGACACAATCATGTATTTGCATAAAGCAGAGTAGGGGGTTTGGAGTGGGATGGCGGCCATTTGGCACACTCCAAGTGGCTTGAAACTTAGAAGAACAAGTTGGCAACGTGGTGTAAAGACCAGTAACTCTTCCCAGCACTGCCCACTCCACCCCACCGCCACTGGTGGAGACAACCTCCTTCCCTGGATCAGTTGCTCTTGCTATAGAACAAGCACATTCTTCCTTAGTACTTTTTTCAATTTGTGTCCTTTCCTGAACGGATCCAATTTTGTAAAATATGGGTCAATCAGAATGATACCTGGAATGGGGGAAAAAAACAAAATCCGAAACCCTGCCAAGAAACTTAATCTTCCTCTTAGGAAACAAGGGTAGTGTGTGCATTACATAGCAACCAAGTCTCTTGACCAGCAGAGTTGGAAACAGAGGTGCCCCACTCAAAGATGGTGACCCATCATGCCACTTTGAATGTGTATCTCTTTCCACAGCCCTGACAACAATCCAGTCTCTGGCACCAGGCTCTAGAAAAGTCTTCCATTCCAGGACTTTGTTCAACTCATAATTCTTCCCATTCCTGTTATGATCATCATTCTACTTTTAAAATCTGAATCTGTTCCAATTTTGCTTTGCCTGCCATGAATGAATCGGTTCAAACCGGTTTCAAGCCCCAGTTTGAATTTATTCCCAGCATTTGCCAGGCATCCAGTTGCAACTTGTCTGGTGTATCCAGTGTAATGCTAGTGGGGAGAATCCACTAATTTCTTTGAGGGTTAGGCCTGATTTTAATTGAACGTGTAATGCCAATTAAGTGTTCAGGAAGCCTTTCATATCCTAGAGGATGTAAAACTCGTGTGAGGGCTGCCACAGCCCATTGAACTGGCTCCCTGTCTGACAACAGTCTTTTCATTGTCTTTCAGAAATCAGGAATGGAAATCTCAAGGCCATTCTAGGCCTCTTCTTCAGCCTCTCCCGGTATAAGCAACAGCAACAGCAACCCCAGAAACAGCACCTCTCCTCGCCGCTGCCTCCTGTCGGGTCCCAGCCAGCTAGCACCCCCTCCCAGGGCCAGCCTGGCACGCCTCAGCAACAGGTGCCAGCCATTCCCCAAGCTCCGTGCCAGCCCCTCCAGCTGCACCAACCAGCTCCTCATCAGCAGTCAAAAGCACAAGCTGAGATGCAGTCCAGGTGGGGGCCCTTGCCAGTTCACCGTTGTGTGTTTTCAGGCACCCTCCGATATCCGAGACAGAATGTGGTTTTCATCTGCGTTACTTCAGTGCTGAGAGCTACTGATAGTTGTGGGGAATTAGCATGATATTGAAAGGGATACTATGAGACCTTTTTCTGTGCCTGGCGGACATGTGTGTTTTTATAGGCCAGATTTGCCAACAACCAAAACTAATTATCTGCTCCTACCCTAACTCTGAAAACCAATTATCTGCTCCTTCCGTAACTCCATAGTCCTGGTGTGGCGCTGTGGGTTAATGTGTCAGACTGCAAGGTCGATGGTTCAAGTTCACCAGCTGCTCCTTGGAAACCCTACATAGGTTTGCTATGGATCAGAAAGGACTCGATGGCACTTAACAACAACAGCCATAACTCTAAGGAGCCCTGGGAGTGTAATGGATTACAAGTTGGGCTGCTAACTACAAGGTCAGTAGTTTGAATCTACCAATCCCTCCATGGGAGAAAGATGAGGCTTTCTGCTCCCCTAAGGATTTATAGCCTCAGAAACCCTGTATGGGGTCACCACTGTGTGTCGGAGTCCTGGTGTAGAACTGTTTATCCAGCACTGTAGGATAAGCACTGGACCGCACGGTTGGTTTGAACCTCAATGTCTGAAATTCAGAACTCATTAGCTGCTCCTCATAAACCCTACACAGGGGTCAACATGAGTCGGAACTGACTCAGTGACAAAGTAGAACTTCCTTATAGGGTTTCTAAGACTATAAATCTTTTTGGAATCAGACTGCCACATCTTTCTCCTGCTGAGCAGCTGGTGGGTTCGAACTGCTGACCTTTTGGTTAGCAGCCAAGTACTTAACCACCCCACTGCCAGCGCTCCTTCATATGCTGTAAACAATCCCTAAAATAGACTTCAAAACACTTTCACATGTTGTCCCATAAGCTGGGTGTTCAGTGCTACACATGAGAGTAATTTTACTAAGAGGAGACAGAAGTCCTATTCCCACCCAGGCCTCTGTTCTGCTGGAGAGAAGCATAAAGCACACGGAAGAAAGGTGGCAAATGGCTTTGAGCAGAGGAGGCTGTATCCTTCCTGGAAAGAAGCATATTTCACTGCCTGGGGGGATGCCAGTGTGTGCAGTAAGTGGGACTGGATTTTGTTAAGCTCAGGGAATGAATGTGTAATCAGCAAGCTCCCCATAGCCCAGGTCTGGTCCTCCACTTGGCAAGATGAGGATCTCAAGTTTGCTGCTGTTCCCAGAGGGATTGGTGCTGGCCTCTGAGGCTCACCAGTGAATAACCTGCCCACACAATGCCAGTATAGTCACTGTTTACTTGGTTACAATAGAGTAGTTGCATTCCCAAGCAACTCTACTCTATCAGATCACCTTGTAAAATATTTGTTTTAATGGGAGGGGGAGATTAGCAGCTAGAGAATTTGACTTGTGCTAAACTTCTGCAGGAAAGTTTAGAATTGTTTTTTGTGGGGTTTTTCCCTGAGCCATAAACTTTTTGCTGTTAAGCCTAAATGTCACTGCTCAAATTGATGGCTTGATTTCATCGAATGTTTGCTAACAAGGAATGGCCTCCCTTCTCCAATCACCCAATGCACCTGGCTTTCTGCACACCTTGATACCCCTGTATCACCCATTGTAGTGTTGGGCGAAACACAAAGCTGCTCAAACAAAGCAGCTCCCTTACAGATGGCTGCAGCTTTTTTCCCATGAGCAGTGCTGTTCCTCAATTGTGATGGTGATAAAACCAGCAGTGATGGGTATAATGTAAGTCAGGCCCCCTAATTAATTATCTAATTATATCCAGTTCACATTATGGAAATTTGTGGGATGAGAGAAGTGTGTGGACTAGCAATGAGGAAGGCAAAGCTAAGTAGCCAAACACTGTACCATTGCCCTGCAGAACTGCCTGCATGGGAGCCCTTTCCTGATCAGAGGTTCCTTGGTGGACCTGAGCCATTACAATAATCAGACATCATTCTCCAAACTGTGTTTTGCATAGTGTTTACTTCCTGAATGTTAACTTGGGTTATACCACAGGGAAAAGGTTCTGTGGGGGTTAGGGGAGAGATGGAAAATAGTCAGGGTTAAGTTTTGTCCCTTTTACTGCAGGTTTACTCAAAGTCTTTAATCTGATGCTGATGTGCATTCATTTATTTGATTATATTTAAATGTCTTCTGTGTCCCAGGCATTGTCTTAGGCACTTGAGAGTTCTAGGTGAACAAGATAGTCAAGATCTGCTGTCTGCAGTCTATTAAAGGAATCAGAATGGCAAGCATTGAATTAGCGAATTAAATATTAGGTACCAATCGATATTGCATTAAGATGGTAAGAATAAGAGGGACTGGTCCCTACTTTAGGTTGAATTGATAGAATGTTCTTTCTGAGCAGATGACACTGAAGTGACTATGAATGACAAAAGGTCAGGTGTAGAATACATCCGACAGAGGGAACAGCTGGTTCAAAGGCCTCATAGGAGTAAAGACCCAAGAATAAAGCTTTGAACTCTTGATCATCAAGGTCAAATGTTGATGCAACCCCAAAATATCTGGTTTGTTTGGGTCCTCTGTTAGAACTCTACCATACGTAAGCTATCCTAAAAGCTATTTTGAAACTAGGTTAGATTCAGTATCTTTTGGGGTTGTTGTTGTTAAGTGCCTTTGAGTCGGTTCTGACTCATAGCGACCCTGTACAGGGTTTCCAAAGAGTGACTGGTAAGTTTAAACTGTTGATCTTGCAGTTCAAACTGATGTAGCAAACACTAAAAGTGGCAATTTTCTTTCTTCTTTTTTAAATGGTGTTATTGTGGTAAAGGAGCTCTGGTAGTGTAGTAGTTACAAATCTGGCTGCTAATCTCATGATCAGCAGTTCGAAACTACCAGCTGTTCCACAGGAGAAAGATGAGGCTTTCTGCTCCTGTACAGATTTACAGCCTCGGAAACTCTGAACAGAGTTGCTATGAGTCGGAACCGACTCCACAGCACATAACAACAACAACACAACAACATTGTGGTAAAAGTTTATATGAGGAGACTTTAAAATGTTCGTGGACAACTCCAATATCTTTAAGTTCTATTTTTCCATGATGTTTTTTTT